TGAGGCAACCAGGTGCACCTGATGAAGGAACAGCATCTTATTCATCATACACTAAGCATGGACAGAGATTCTAAATGCTCAAATTCTGGGTTTGTAAACAGTCTCTTCTACAGTATTTTCTCTCTGCAATCTGGGACCACTAAAGTCTTACACTCTCCGAGAAAACTTAGAAAGAAGGTTATTTCCTTCATTTTTACTAACAGCAGCGGAAAGTTCATACTCCTAAAACCTAGTATATGGGGTAAAAATATTCTCAGTAATCACTAGCAATTTTTTTTCTTCCCTTTAAAAACAATAAAAAATACTTGCTTTCAGCAATCTTTATTCTTTGATGTGGCCTAGTCCCTCATTATGATTAGCAGAAGCTAATGCAGTGCCAGAAGCATGGGATCATCTGAGGGACTGGGTAATAGCCCAGAGCTTTCAGTGCTGCTGGTGGCCATCTGCCACATGTATGAAGTTCCCTGCAGGTTATCATTTATAACCATTGTAAAAGAAAATATTTTCCATCTGTGAGGACCACAGAATTAAACCCACCCAAGAGTCTCTGGCAGTTTAATTCAGGACCAAAACTTCTGTTAGCTTTTGTCTTTCTCTTCAGAAATCTTTTTCACAAGTTTTTCCTCCTGTTGCCCTACAACATTCTTGCACAGTTTAGTTCCTACAGTAGCAATTGATGGTATACAAAAAGGACAAGCTGCTAATGTTGTTCCTGTTCTCATAGCCATTTCAGTAGCACTCAGGCTGTGATAGTTTGCCCAAGTTCTTCTCCACCAGCCTGGGAAAAAAAAAAAAAAAAAAAAAAAAAAAAACTGCCAAAAATTTTGCAAAAAGTCTTTTCCAGCCTTGGTCCTCAGGGCACATTTTGTTGACAAATTCAAAAGGACTACAAAAAAACAAAGCTATTTCCCCGGAGTATACGTGCTGCCAGAGCTCAGAGGCTTTTTCCTTTGCCTCTCTGTGCCTATTAAAGGAAGGACTTCTTTCTTCTAAAGCCCAGCTAAATCATGAAACAGTCTCACTTTAACTATTTTTAATTACTATAATTTGGACTACAACAAACATGAAATTACTGAAGTTCTTTTGACTGATGATACAATAACAAAACAAACAAACAAAAAAACCCTAAATTGACAGAATTTACCCTACAGCTAATAATTACAGTGATACTACTTATATGACTTTTTTATAATGTCCTTACAATTTAAGCTGCTAGTAGGAGCAGTACAGAACTGCGCATATATCTGGTACTGTATATTTAAGAAGAAATAAACTTTGCCTCATAAATCTTTACATTAAACATCTAATCCCATGTCTACCTCATCCTATATACCTTAAGTGAGATTTTTATGCAAAAATACCCTACATCTTTTCACCTTCTTTCCCATAAGTAAGCCTGATCATGAAATCTAAAGGAAAAAAATAATTATCTTCTTAGTACATGTATTTGCATTAGTATATGTATTTGGTATAGGCAACATTATTATTACTGAATGAGCATCCCAGTTATCTCAGTTCTCATTTTCTCTTCTGAGGTATTTTAAGACTAAATAAAGGCCTACTGTTCTTCAGAACAGCAGTAGAGAGGAGTAACTGTCACTGGAAATAATTATTCTTAAAAAAATATTCACAAAAAAAAAACACAACACTAACCCACACACATGCAAACTAATTGCAAAGCGCCAAGTATTAATTAGTATGCTCTTTGAATTCTACAAAGACATTTTTCTACATTTTAAAGTAATATTTAAGCCATTCCAAAAACTCGCTTGAATTCCCCAATTCTTATTTGAAGAAAGGTCTTATACTGTGAATATAAAGTTGACTCAGCTTGAGCTGAAAAATACTTCTGTAAAATGAAATTATAGACAGATATTCCTTGGACTGTGCAAATATCATCCTTTAATAGGACATTATTCCACTCAATCATAACTACAGTGAATTAGTTTGTTGTGAAGATGTTGACTAACTGGAAGATGTTTACACACTGCCAAGTTCCAAGTGTTGTTTAGAGAGAAAGTATAGAATGTTCTCTCACCAGAGCCAAGTGGTGAAGAATCCATACTCTCCTTTGCTGTTCAGTTACATTTATGGATACTGAAAAAAGCTGGTATGTATCAGGAAAGATATTTTAAATTCAGGGTTTGTGTTCACCAGGCAATAAAGTTATATAAAGCTGATAATCGTATTGCATGTAAAAAGACGTGGCAGGAACTTTTTCATGAGACATCAAGGAGATTATCTGCATACAGAGGTAGAAGGCCTATCGTGAAGTTCATGCAAGAAGAACTGGAAGACAAACTACACTAAATAGCTAACTAATACGCTAATAACTGTACTAATAATTATACCAATACTGCTATCATGCAGAACACAAACTCATTTTAGGAAGAACTCTTTTTTCGTGGACAGGCACCTACAATGCAGAATATCGACTCCTCCCTGGAAATAAGCAAGCAAATATTTTGAACCAAACTTGCACATGTTCCAAATAAATAATAACAAAATATATTCTGCGCTTAAAGTCTCCTACAGATAAGTATAAGGCACTTGAGCATGCACTCTCTTTGGACTCATCTATTTAAAGTAATTGTCTTGAATCATTTATGGCAGATGCTGTTAATCACCCACCTAGTACCAATATTTAGTATTCAATCACAGCAACATAGTACAGAGGTATTAACTGTAAACTCTGAATTCTGAACTCTGGCTAACCATCAAATGGAATGGTTTGGATTGGAATGAACCTTAACAATCATCTATTTGCTTGGAAAGGGCCCCATACAACTTGGCCTTAAACACTTCAGGGATGGGATATCCAGAACTTCTCTGGGCATCCTGTGATAGTGCCTCACCAATCTTCAAATAAATAATGTCCCTCCTAATATCTAACCTAAATCTTCCCTCTTTCAGTTTAAAGCCATTCCCCTTGTTCTATACTATTAGATCACTTAAAAAGTCATCTCCATCTTACCTATAAACTCTTTTTAAGTATTGGAAGGCTGCAATGAGGTGACCCTGGAGCCTTCGCTCCTCCAGGCTGAACAAGCCCAGCTCCCTCCACCTTCACAGGAGAGATGCTCCAGTCCTTTGATTATCCTTGTGGCCATTCTCTGGACCTGCTTCAACATCCCTCTTGTGTTGAGGTCCCCAGATCTAAATGCAGTACTGCAGATGGGCCCTCATGAAAGCTGAGCAGAGGATTACAATTACCTCCCTCGCCCTGCTGGCTACCCCTGTTTTGATGCAGTCTCATCTATCATGCTCCTCTCCAATAGTTTAAGTATCTCTTCATGTTTTCTTTTAATTTAGTCCTTATCATTCAGAGTTATTACTTTTTCTTTGCACACCAAAATGCATGTACACTAATATAGATATCAGAAAAACTCTAATTTATTTCAGTCTTATGATGTGTCTTATTATCAAATACATGCATACATTGAGCTCAGAGATTTAAAAAAATTCAATATATGTATTTATAGTAAACATAAGAGAATAATTCTATTCATATTCCAGTTAGTTGTAAAATGTAACACTGGTTCTAGTGACCTCATTAAGTAGATATGATTGACTGCCACTAACAATATGACCCAAAAGTGACTGACATTCCAGGTGACAGGCATTTGACAGACTATATTTTGTAAATTTAAGAAAGTGTATGTGCCTAAAACTTCCAAAGTTAATATCATGTAATTCAAGCTAAGGTTTATAAAGTAAGGCACATACACCAAACTAAATTAAAGGCTGAGCAAATGACAATCAAATGACAATATCAAATATCAGCAGGTAAAAGAAGAAAAAAAAAAAAAAAAGCGAATCCTTGATGAACCTTCCCTACTGTATTTCACAGCCTTTCAAAGAAACCCACTCCTAAGAACAAAGCAAGGCAAGTCAGAGGGCTCATAACCAAGACTTTTCAGTCTCAATACATCTCCCAGAAGTCTAACCTTCCCACAATACCTTCTGGTGTTCAGATAATCTCTCCTTTTTGCAAGCAACTCCAAGACTTTTTTTGGTATTACAGGATATTTTATTTCAAAAACCAGAAGCCTCGTCTAGTCTTCCTATTTCTTTTAAAACTTTTAATAAACAATAAGTCACAAAATCACTCACTCACTAAAGTCACATAGTTTAATTTCTATACAGCAATAAGTATCTATTGTCACAATGTTTCATACCTCTGAACATTAGATAAAAATGTAAACATCTCAAAAATGCTAAACCCAACTTATTTTGTAATTCATTTGTAAGCATTTGTAAGCCTTAATTATATATTTAAAGACACTGTTATTCAGGTATTTAAGAGAATTAAATCAGACAGATCACAAATACAAAACTTGGCCCATAACTCATTGTATTCTCTTGGAATTATATATCAACCATAATACAAAACTAGCATTTTTATCCTAGTTGTCTCAGACATTTAGCTATTTATGCAAAGAGAAATCACAGTTTCATACAATTAGCACCTTCCTATTCCAGACAGCCAAAGGAAGGTTGAAACAGTACAGTTAAAAGCCACCACACCTTTATTTCATATGTAAACACAAATCTGAACACAAACAATTCATCCAATTTTATCAATCACTTTATCCTGATATTGATAGCTCTTCCAGAAAAGCAATGATTTTATGGTTATTCTATTAGATTACTACACTGATACAGTTAAGTAAATGCCATGTTGTCACAAAAAAAAAAAAAAAAAAAAAAAATCTTAATTTTACTTACAGGCTTTATACTTTGTATAGAAACATTTCCTTTAGTAATAAATCAACAATATTTCTAAATCTATTTTCTTTGTTTACAAAAATATTAATTATGATACAAAAAAAAAATTCTGAAATACTCTTGAACATTTTTAGATCAACTCCTATCAGACTTTACCAACTGCCGCTTAAATCTAACTTCTCATGTTTAGGATTTTGTCCTCTAAGCATGTAATTCTGAGCTATTAATTGGGAAGAAAAAAAATGTAAAAATATATTTCAGACAGTACTTACATTCGGCGTATTTCTGAAGCTGAGAGAACTCTCCAGGACTAAGGTTAAGCCACTTCTCCTGGCTCGTCATAATGGCAGTAACAGTCCTCGTTAATATCAGAAAAGCATTCCTTTTGACCCAGGTGACAAACTCCAAGATTTGTAGTTTCAGTTCACAGTGCTTGAAGACTTGATAGGCTGCATCAGTCTGAAGTCTTTGATGCTATGAATTGTTTCCAATTTGTTGGTTCAGCAGTGGGTTACAGCACTGTTAAAAAAAGTCAAACATAAGAAGTCTAAATACCAGTTTTAATACAGGAGTAATTGTAATTGATAAATATTTTGTCATAACAACTCTGTCACAAAATTTGTACATATAATATTTATCCATATTTAGTCTTATATGCATCTCCAAATTGTGTTTTTACAATTTCAATTCCTTATGTCCAGCACTAATCATCAAATATTATCATACTGATCAAACTGCATCCAAACACGTACTGTGATAGATAAAAATCTTAACATGAGCCAGCAGTTTGCCCTTATAGCTTCGAAGGCAAATGGTATGCTGGGCTCCATCAGAAGAGGGGCGGCCAGCAGGGACAGGGAGGTGATTGTCCCCCTCTACTCTGCTCTTGTGAGGCCCCATCTGGAATACTGTATCCAAGTGTGGAGCCCCCAGTACAAAAAAGACAGGGAGCTGTTGGAGAGGGTCCAGAGGAGAGCTACAAAGATGATCAGGGAACTGGAGCACCTCCCCTACAGAGACAGGCTGAGGGAGCTGGGCTTCTTCAAGCCTGGAGAAAAGAAGGCTGTGGGGCAACTTCATTGCAGCCTTTCAGTACCTAAAGGGAGCCTACAAACAGGAGGGGAATCAACTATTTCAAGGGTAGATAACAGCAGGACAAGGGGAAATGGTCTTAAGTTGAGAGAGGGGAGATTTAGGTCGGACGTCAGGGGGAAATTCTTTACAGAGAGAGTGGGTGAGACACTGGAACAGGCTGCCCAGAGAGGTTGTGGATGCTCCGTCCCTGGAGGTGTTCAAGGCCAGGTTGGATGGCCCCTGGGCAGCCTGGTCTAGTATTAATTGGGGAGGTTAGTGGCTCTGCATGTGGCAGAGGGGTTGGAGATTCATGATCCTTGAGGTCCCTTCCAACCCTGGGCATTCTGTAATTCTGTGATTATGCTTCTGTTTCAGTAATATCTAGAGACACTATCTATCAGTAAAGTTAGATCCCTGTAATTTTAAAATGGGACTCAGGTAATCATCCAATTCTGTTGTTAGATAGTGTTACATGTGGTTTCATCAAAAACATTCTAAAGCTTCTATTTCAAAGTGTCAAAATGAAAATAATTTTATTTGGTAATGTGGTGGTAAAATCATGAGAGTTATTTAAATATTGACTCTTCTAACAAAATAATAGGGGGTTGATTTTTAGGATCTATCACAACAATGCAGAACACACTAGTCAAAAATCAAATGTAACTGGCATTGTTGCAAATCAGTTCAGACAAAAATAACAAATTCTGGGTGTCATTGCAATTCAGTTTTATGTAGTTCTAACCACTCTACAGCAGACATTACAAAGGCAATGCATTACCAACATCACTTGTTGCACAACAGGTAGGAGGATACTTTTCATCTAATTTTAGCTGTCTGGCCATCAGGCATTTCACCAAGGTTGTCATCTAGAGCTCTCTCTTTAATCAGCTGAAAGAAAAAGGCAATGTAGACCAGCAATTAATCCCTCCAGTTTCAACATAATCTTAAAATGTGATGAATTGCTTCTTGCAGTATTTATCTTTCTCTATTGATTGCAGAGGTTGCCTAGATGACAAGTTTAGACTAGAAAGCTAATTTTAGACCATAAATGGAATCTCTTTACGTGCCTAGCAATGGTGTAACTTCCAAGAGTCAGATTACAAAAAGAGCAAATGAAAAATTCAGAACAGAAGACACTGACATAATAACAGTTTCTAAGGAAGAAAAGTGGCAGCTGGGAGAGAAAAAACAAACAAGTTTTTAGCTTGAGGTGGCAGAGGGGAAAACAAAAATAAAAATAAGAAGTAGAGTAGCAAAGAACAGAAACATACGAAGTGAGATGTTTTAATGCTGAGACTCATAAAGTCAAGCTGACACCTGATCTGATGATCTTGATGGTCTTTTACAACCTATATAATTCTATATTCAAATCCCTCCTGAAAGCTCTTCTGGGTTCATTCTTACTGCCCTGACAGAAAGCACGAAACTTCTTAACACACACCCTACGAAGGTTTTCTATGTTAAACATAACAAGGAAAATTGAGACAGCCAAGAAACCAGCCTTTGGAATTACCTAGCCATTTTTTTACCTCCTACCAGTTTTTCTACAGTCTACATCTCACATACAATTTTATCAGTAATTTGCAGTTACTTCATAAAAGGGGGGTAAGACTAATGCCAAGAAGGGATGCAAAGGCAAAGCGAACAATCCTAAATAACCATCTTCTATTCTATAGGTGAACAGGACCTTCAAAAGCCTTTTCCCCCCATTTTCCTTTAAATTACTGACTCAAACTATCCCTCCGTCTATGGGAAACAAAGCTATAAAAAGACTAATTCATTTAGCCTACCATGAAAATCCTGTTTCAATCTGTTTATGCTTTTATTAGGAAGGTGGAGGAGTGAGAAAGAACATGAACCCCAAGGAGAAAAGTTTCCTTCTAGGCTTTAGGGGAAACTATAGCTCTCCACATGACTGATTGCTGATTTTTGACTGAATACCATGAATAAACAACACAGAATATTTTGTACTTTAGCTGCTATAGAGACTGAAGCAATTACGCTTTTCAGAAACTTTTCTATACAGAACATACCCAAAATTTCATTCAATTGGGTAAATACCTTCACCATAGTTATCTGGGTCTCTTCTCTAAGGCTGCAATTGCCAACATAATTGAACATTAAAACACAGCAACAAACCAGCACAACGCCAAAAACAAATTCATGTCATAAAAAATGCAGGCACTATTTATGGATATGCCAGACAATTTGTGAAAGTATTCTTGCAATTCATTTTACACTTCATAGAAAATCTTGTCCTTAGAATTCAGGAACATTCCAAATAGATGCAGTTGAGGCTTAGTCCTGAACAGCTTAAGGAGGAACAAAATGCCCAATCAGAAGCAATTACTAATCAGCATTCTGGTTTCATCATCACTTTCAATCACAGAAATATTATGACTGTTTCTAACTGCTGCTGGATTAATTGCATGAATGAAAAAGAGCCTTGACAGCAAAATACATCTTCCTACAAAAACATAATGTGTACATTTCACATAACATTGTCTTGTCTTTCCATGGTATTCAGCATTCAGAAGTATTAAATTCATTTTACTAGTAGACATTCTTAACTTGCCAAATAACATTTACTAATGTGTATTATCATAACTCAAGTATATTAACATTAAACACTGATACAATGAAAGTTTGTTGAATAGGTGTCCCTCTAAAGGAGCAGCTTGAACACAGTCCAAAATATGTGCATGTTTTCCCAACTACTTTATCTTCAGGTGTACTAGTTAGGGATATGTAAAAACATTCATTTAGATTTTAATACAAGTATGAGGGCTGTATTCCAGAGAGAAGTGATTATTTGAATTTTCTTCCTCAAATTATTTATATGGAGTATGTCAGTAAACACAGGAAATACATGCAGCATAAAAAAAACTGAACTAAAAACACTGTGATATGATAAGCCAAAAAAATGAATATTAGAGAAAACATTTCACTAACACAGACTTCTAAGAAAATGAGAAATATTAGCAACAAAAACTGTCAAAGGTGATCAGAAGTCAAGACAATGGCACAACTTTAAGTATATTTACTTACATCTTAGAGTTTTTTTTTAATTATCTTTTTTACTTTGGTCTTCAAGCACCTTAATTTCACACGGGGACAACTTTAAAAACTATTTTACTTTCAGATAGATCTCAAATATTTCCAGCTCTTTCTAGAATTTTATTTCCAAATTGCTACACTAAATACAACACTTCCTTCACTAAAAGAAACATGGAAATAAATGAAATACAAGCAGAAAACTGGAATAAGAAAATGCCAGAATGTTTATGTTTGCGGTGCTGTAGATTTTTAAAGGCCATGCCTCCATTAAATAATGTAACTCAATAAGCAAAAAATAAGTTAAAAAAAAATAATCCACTGACAGCTTTTCAGATTGGAATTCATTTTATACTTAAAGTGTAAATATCATATAAACTCAAAATCCTCTCTGATAATAATGCAGCTATTCCCAAAGTTAAAAAGTTCTCAATTACAATTCCCAGAAAACAAATCTTTAAAAGCAAATGCAGGAAATGTGAGGAATTAGTCACCCTTCTCACCACTTTACATCTGTGACTAGCAGATTTCTCCATAAGGGCATTAACGTTCGGTGCCATATTCACTGGGACTAAATGGTCATACCGTATCACATTTTGCTTCTATAAGTAATTGATAATTATTTTTCCACTTGAAGAAGTTATCCATGTCTCTGAAAAAGTAAGAAGGCTGCTCCAAAATTAATGCCTGCTTGCCTCCTGCCCAGGAAAGTGATGGAGTCATCGTTCCTGGAGGTGCTCACGAAACATGTAGATGTGGTACTTAAGGACATGGTTTAGTGGGCAAGATGTTTGGACTAGGTGATCTTAAAAGGTATTTTCCAACCTTAATGATTCTATTCTAAGATTATAAAAATATTGAAAATAGGTGAGAGTAAAAAACAGACATAAAACTGACCCCACAAAAAGCAGGGAAAAACTGTTTAGACAGAAATATCTCTAGAAGGCTGTTAATACTTTAAAATCAGTGAATTCCAAAACTGTTAATTTCAAAGTGAAATTCTTTATAAAATAAAAATAAATAACTAAGACTCATGACTAATTTTCTTTAATAAATCAAGCGATGTAATCTGTGACAGAAAGCCCATGATTCAATAGGTGCAATTATGCAATATGCAGGAAGTTCTCACTCATAAAGTACATTTAGTTGTCCACTGGGTAAACCACTGACAAGAGAATTATTCCTACTCCTTCAACACTGCACACTGTTTCTTTTATCCACAAAAAACTCCTCCAAAGTTATGAACATCACAGAATAAAAGCTTTAGGGGAAACCTCTCCCTTCCAAACCGGGCATTTGCCACCTTTCCTATGAAACTCAATGTTAGAAGTTCATATTTTGGAAGGAATCCTGCATTCATCTCCCACAACTAGCACCACAAATATGCGACCCCACTTTAGCAGTGTTCAGCAATTTAACTAATATCTCTCATGTGTTGTTGCCCTTTCTTTCCATTGCTTCTCATGGGATGAACTATAAATTCAATACAATAATTAATTTCTGTTACCATCAGCAACAGGGCTTTCTGTGTAATTGTTTGGTTTAATTAATCTCTACAATTTAGGCGCGCCAGGGGTCATTACACTAGAGGAACGCAAAGCTGAAAAGTGTTATTTCCAACTGGGGGAGATTTCTGATGATCCTTGATTTCCTGGGGCAGAAATTCCTACTTTGTGCTCAGAAATAAGCCTTTGAAGAGATGTACTTTAGCCTTGTGATACAACTGTACCATTCTGCTCGAGGAAAAGATTTGTTAACTGCTGTCCTCCTTCCAAAATTTTATGTAGTTTTAAAACAAGCTGAGAATTGGGCACTTGAGTAGCTTCTAAAATATACTTGTGAATATGAGCTTGATTTAATCTTCAACAAGAAATCCGTGCAGAGAACGAAGAACAGGTTAGCAGGCACGTGAATGGATTTTCTTGCAGACACTATTTTTATTTCTTTTTTTACTAGCTTAATTTTTTTCCTTAGGGAGATTACATGCAGAAATTACTGCAGAATGGGGGCATGAATAGCCGACACTGCGTCATTGTTTACCGGGACAGTGTGCAGTCCTCTAGACAACTACAAAGGGTTTCATATTTATTTAATTAGTATTGCTATGAAAAAGTTCAGTGACAGTGGAAAATAAAATGGGATTTCAAAAGTGGGAGGGATCTTGCTTACAGGAATGTACATCTGCAGACAAAGGAAATTCTGTGACGGCAGCAGTATCTCCAGCTACTATTCCTTGTTCTTCCTCAGCTTCTGATTTGTTCAAATTCAACTCCATTAATGCCCAGGTTTGGAAAGGCTCTGTTATCATGGCCACTTGAGTATTCCTACCACCTGTGTTGATTTTACGTCCACACTGCCACCAGAGGCATGGATGAAGAACGTTACATGAAATCTTTTAAATATCTGTGAGAATTAGCATTTGTGCTTTTAACTGATTATAGTATATAGCTGCGCTTTTATGCGACCTAAATATGTATTCTTTTCCAATGATTTTCAGATTTCAGTGTGAAATTTTACTTCTGTTTTCCTCACCTTAAAGAGGAAAAAAAAAAAAAGTTTGATAATCTCTCTTTTCCTTGAGGATATTTTGTAGCACACATTATTGAAATTTTTAAACATTCTTCCTCTTGAAAAAGACTCCACATCTGTTTTTTGTTGTTTTCTCAGTATGTTTGCCTAGCTAATTTTCTCTTTAAGAGTTGCAATTTATTCTCAGACACAGCTTATGCCTTCACAAATGTTTGGCACTAACATTATTGCTATTGTAAGTATGATTATTTAAAGATAATATAAACAGAGGATTGATACATAG